CTCACTCTCTCTCTCTCTGTCTTTCGGGCGAGCGCATGTGCCCTATAGAAAAAAAAAAAAAACTCTCTCTCAAAAAACAAAAAAAAAGAATTCTGTCTCTCTGGGGGCTGGGAGGAGGTCTCGGTGCCTACTGGCCTGGGGATCTACAACCAAACAGGATCCACTGAATTGGATTCCTGTTCCCATTCCTCTCTGTCAGTTGGATTTTGTCTCCTACAGACCAACAGATGTATCTCTGGAATACTATTCAAGCCTTGATCTTGGAAGGAAGAGAATATTGTACACATGGCAAATATTACATTTATTTTACTTGTGGCTGATTCATGGGAGAAAACATTACAGATTTAATGCTCAAATGAAGTTCTAACTTTGGCGACTGATCATCTGATGACAGCTGATGTTGGGGATGAGTGGCATTTATTTTGTTGATCCTTAAAGCATGACAGAGATGAACAATCCGTGTCAAAAATGAATGAAGATATTCAGGAGTGGAATACGCTTACTGTTCTGATTTGCTGGCTAATTGGGAACTGGACAAAGAATGTAGCTGAGACTTTTTTTTTCCCCTATAAGGTGTGTGCACTCGAGAGAGAGAGAGAGGGAAAGTGAGCAATCACCCCCACAGGAGATGGCCACACTGCAGTCCCCTCTCCCTCATCCTCCTCTTGGGTTTTGGACACGTACACACACATGCCCAGTGTGAATTTCTTTTTTTGGAGAGGTTTTTGCTATAGGGCACGTGTGCTCGCAAAAAGACAGAGAGACAGAAAGCGAGAAATCACCCCCGGGGGGAGGGCCACACTGCAATCCCTTCTCCTCTATTCTCCTCTCGGGATCTTGGGCACACATGCACACGCACCCAGAGTGAGCTTAAACTGCTGGGTACGGGACTTGAACCACAGTTGTCTATGTGGGAGTTCAGCGACATAGCTATTACGCTAACTGCTGGTCCCCCCAGTGTGATTTTCAAACTGCCAGGTGCAGTACTCAAACTGCATAGTTGGTCAGATGGGATCGGCTACCTTAATCACACCACCTGGCTGGCCCCACTGAGACCTTTTATTCCCCCTTAAGAGAGATTTTTGCTATAGGGTGTGTGTGCTCACGAGGGACAGAGAGAGACAGAGAGACAGAAACCGAGAAATTTTCCCCTGGGGGGCTGGCCATGCTACAATCCCTTCTCTTCCATTCTCCTCTCC